TCCCTTTTGCTGCTGAAGTCTGGCTTTTGGGGAGGCTGGCTGATCTCGGATGATTTTACATTTTAGAAGGTTACCCCTGTGGAAAGCTTACATTGAATGCTCTTCTCATCTATACACAATTACCCTTGATGAACAAGTACCTGGGATTTCTATATTTCTGGGAGAACTACCTTCATGCTAAGTACTGCTTTGGAAATTTGGGCTCCCTTAACAAAATCTTTGCTGGCAGGATAATAAAAGTGAAAAGGGAAAGAAGAAAGGAAGGAGGAAAAGTAAGTAACAGCAATAATGTGAAGCACTTGAGGAAATTATCTACTTGTTTTCTATGGTGCCCACAATTTGGATTCTCTAGTCAGTCCTTTAGTAAGTAGATTCAAAACATGATGACCTGACCTAGCAGCTGTGATAACCCTCTTGGGATCGACTGGATCTTAGGATGGTCCTTCTAATATTGGAGACAATTAGAAAGCCTTCAATTTGGGGCTGGCTGAAAAAGAGGCTGGGTGGCCTTTGCTATGGAAAGAAGTTGACTGTTACAGCTTTGACTGTTTCAAGGTCTTTGAAGAGCCTTGTAACCTGTGTGGCTGTTAAAGAAACACCTTGTATTGGAGGAAGATATTGAGTTACTAAATCAGGAGTGAAGAATGAGGCTTCTTCCAATTTGCTAAGTATAAAGCTATACACTGATGTGATATCTTTTGATCAGAATATATTTGCTGCTCCTGCCAGTTATACGCCAATGATGGCAGAAGAAGCCAAGTGAATATGTGCTGTTTGCAGGGATGGGATTCAAATTTCTTAACAATTGGTTCTGTGGGTGTGGCCTAATTTGTGGGTGTGGCTTGGTGGCCATGTGACTGGCTGGGCATGGCTTGCTGACTGGGCATGGCTTGGTGGTCATGTGATGGCTGGGCATGGCTTGTATATAAATATTATAAATATTCATGTAAATATTGAATTTTTTTTAAAAGAGCAACTTTTACCCAAAATCAGGCAAAGCAGGCAGTCAGATTGAGTTGCTCACAGAATCACAGATTCATTCAGAGATCTACCTTTCTGCGATCGGCTACCTGAGTCTGTCACATAAAATCTGCTTGCAAACAAACTCACAAAATTAACTCACAACACACTATGTATGTAAATATTGAATTTTTTTTAAATAAAAAATAGCAATTTTTACCCAAAATCAGGCAGAGCAGGCAGGCAGATTGAGTCACTTAGAGATCTGTGTTTCTGCCATCTGCTACCTGAGTCTGCATTAAATAATAGAAGCTTCAGGCTCAGCTCTGCTTTTAGATTAGCTAGAAAGCAAGAAATCTGTCAATTTCCTGCTTTCTAGCTAATCTAAATCTCCGGGCACAGCAGAACACCTGATGGTTGGGGGGAAAAAGGGAAAATAGCAACTTAGCAGGCAAATTTGATGGCGCGCATGCCAGGTAAGGAGTGAGTGGGCTGGGCGGGGCCAGCCAGTGGCACAATTTGCCGGTTCTCCGGCAGGTAGAATCCCACCCCTGGTTAGAGTGCATTTTGCGCACACCTGTAGACCATTTCCTAAAAACCTCAGCTCTGCAGCCCAGACAGCTGAAAAGCGTTGCGTGGATGCACAGCATTTGAAAATCCTCTTCTTTTCTCATTTTTCAACCTCAGCTGTGTCCCGCAAATCACCTGAGGTTGAAAAAGCAGGAAATAAAGGACAGCCAAGAACCCAGGTGGACGGCTGGGCCAAACAGAGCAGCAGACACCGAACCGGTTCGGTGTCTGCTGCTCTTCAGAGCTACCAGTTCTATAGAACTGGGCCGAACCGGTAGCATCCCACCCTGGCTGTTTCTACCAGCAGTTACTCAATGTAGTGTGTTTAATAACATTCTCTGTTCTCAATTCTGAGGGGGGGGGGAATCACCTTCATCTGGGCTTGTACCTCTCCTTCCTGTCAACTATGTGCTATGTGCAGCATGCCATCTCCAGAAGTTAGACCTCTTTCTATCCGCCATCTATCCACCATCTCCAGAAGTTAGACCTCTTATGCTAAGTTTCTTTCTGGCATTTTAAAAAATATTCTGGCCCCCATAAATTTACGATCTCTCTCAAATTAGCTTGTAGCCTCCAAGGGAGTCATGGTCTATAGTTTAAAAATCCTCATCCTAAGTCATTCTCTTTTATAGAAAGTTAACATATGTTATAATACAACTAAATTTAGATTATCCTGAAATAATGCAAAACAGCAGCTGCAGGAGGAAATAAATTAACATGCTGATCGTTGATTAGATAACAGGGTAAGATGAAGCCTTTATCATAATTTTCTTCCAAAGTATGGAACTTTGAATGTGCATTAAAATTGAAAGTATGCAGAACACTACTTTTATTTTTGTTTCCTTTACAATGTGGATTCTTCCTTTTGGCAAATGTATAGCTATTTATATTAAAAGTTACAACAACCTTTGAAATAAAATAGCTCAAAAACAAATTGATATTATGGGTTTGTATACAGAAAATGTTTAATTTTTGAAAGAAAATATATTCTATTTTTTAAGTGAACCACTTAAAATACACTAATTTTTGACACCTTTCAAACTAAGTAGGTAGGAAATATAGTTTCCCTGTTCCAATAAATAAATTGTTAATTTTTCAGATATTTATATTACCATTACATCTAGATTTATACAAGTCTTTCTAACAGCACTATATTTTGGTGCTGTATTTGGTCTGGAAAAATTTCTAACATACTCTTGTGATCTCAGAGGATTTACTTATTATAAATAAATTATAATTTCCAATGGAATAGAATTGGCCACTGGGTGTCACTTTTGCACCCAATATATAAAATTCATTTTGAATTAATGAATTTTTAGCATAATACCCAGCTTAAGGAACTATACCACATATATTTGAGCATGTAAAACTAAATTTCATTATGATGACACAAGGTAATGCTGTTTTTCCATAGACTTCACAAAAATAGGGATGAAAACACTAAGTTTAGATTGCAAACATTTCTGTTTTTCCTGATGAATCCAGTTTAGTCACATATTTAACCGCTACATTAAAAATTAGAACTAGAGCTAAAGTGATATGAATCTGCATGTATGTCTGTACGGACAAGCACATAATAACAGGTGACAAACTAACTTTGTATCCATTTTAATAGTATCTATGTAAAATAAATACAATTATACACAAAATGTGAAGGTGTTAAGTAGAAGCTTATTTCAATGTGCCTCAAATAAATTACAAAATGTTAGTGTAATTTCCAAAATAAACTTTTCTTTAAAGATCCAAATCAAAGTTATTAAAATAATATTTAAAGTCATTATGTAGACCTCCATGTACTGCACTAAACATAATTTAGTTTTAAAATAATGTCTCAGCACCCTCTTTTACTGCAATTCTTACTTCTGTTGCTAATTAAGCATGTCTTCCTGTCAGTTTATGAAGTTGAAGCATCATCATAGTTTACTGATAATTGCATACATCATCCATTAATTATGATGCAAAAGTAAACTTTTCTGTTTATCTGTAATCTAGAGGTTTAAACTTAACCCTGCACTGTTATAATTCTAGAAAAGTTGCATACTATACGTACAGTTATATATTACACCTTCCAAAACTGATTGACATATATTTAGTAGTTTCCTACTTCTCAACTTACAATATTTCAACATTTCTTAATTTTATAATCCGAGAAACACTACTCAGCAAGTTGCATTATTGATAAAAATTGTTTTTTTGTAGTCTGTTTCCTATGTCAGCTAATGTGACATATTAAAAATATAGACTTCATTATAGTACATGAGACAGCAAGAAAGCAATGGATCATATAGCTGTTTGAGCAGAGTGATCTATAACCATATAGAATATGTAACCTTCAAGAACATAATTAATTTTATCCACACAACCGCTATTCTTTTTAAATAATATAAAAGATAAATCAAGCAATGGCACTGTTTAGTCTTGGCTGTTCCTTCTGATATAAAGAAACATATTGTTCTGAAAAATCACTGTCACTCCTTGGCAAGGGTCACAAAAGACGACTTTGACAACATCTCATAATCATTTCTTTATAATGAGAAAAGAACTTTCCATATTAGAATGGAGAGATCTATACAAAATCAAAACAAGCCATAACATTAATAAATCAATACTAGATGAAGAGGCACAGTCTTAATTGGAAAAGTAACATGGTTA